GTGGCGGTGAGGGGATCCCTTTTGTCTTTTGCTGATTTTGGCACTTCTTGTACTTTTCTGGTGGGTCTGAAGATTGTTTGGAAGTTGTGTTATATGCTGTTAAAGCTTTCTACAGCATATAACAAAAATAAATTAAAAATACTGAATCAAAAATTGAGTCAGTTTTTGAAATGTCTACATTTAATCAGACTTAGCAATATGAATAGTTGACCTGTTTTTAATTTAAAAAATTGAAAAGAAATATATAGATTTAGAGAAAGTGTATGATAAAGTGAATAGGCTTGAATTACAGAGTGCTTTGCATGGAAATGGACTTAAAAGTTGGTTGCTGATTGCAATAAGAGCTTTGTGACACACGTAAAGTATGCATAAGTAAATGTAATTCTTAATGAATGGTTCAACAATGATCTGGGACTATAAATAAATAAAAATGAGCAGGGAATAAAAAAAGGATGTTTGATTTTTGGTTCTTTAATGTATTTATGTATAAAAGTATAAGGAATGCTTGTGATGAGAGAGGTGTGTCAGGAACATGAACGTACATGTAGTTTTGTATGCAAATGATGCTGTGTTGTTGGATGAGAACTCAGATGATTTGCAGAGAATGTTGGATAGATTGAAGAATGAGGATTAAGGTTCTGAAAATTAATATATTGAAAACCAACATAATTGCATTTAACAGGGAAATTGAGTGAATTATTGTAAGGCATTACATAAATGGTAAAAAGCTAAAACAGGTAGATGAATTTGTGTACATTAGTAGATGGTTTACTGAAAGTGGGGGAAAGGATGGAGATATTTTAAGACACGAAGAGACTTATAGAAAGGTTGTTGGTAGCATGTGGTCCACTGTACAGAATAAATATCTCTCAAGAGAAGTAAAAATAGCTAGTTATAAGAGTGTGCTTCTGCCCACTTTGTTATTTAAAAATGAGCGGTGGTATGTCAGGAAAAACAAGAAAGTAATTTGAATCAGGTAGTCAGGTACTTAAATGTGTATGGTAAAGCACGAAGAGATAGGGTCAAGAATAAATGGGTACTGAATGAATGTAGACTGAATATAAAAGTGAGTGACCAGTACACAATGGATATGTTGGGGTGGTTTGCTCATATAGAAAGAGTGAAGATCAAATTACAAAGTCAATATATGAAGAAAGACTGAGTGGGTTAAGTGGAAAGGGAAGACTCAGATAGTTGTGGTTGGATGAAGTTGACGAGATGCTCAAAAAGAGAGAGAGAAATAGTTTAAAGAGTAAAAGGCAATTATGAAGCAGCATATGGGCTTGGTGAAAGCAAAGATGGTTTTTAGGGATAAGCAGATATGGACAGTATAGTGAATGGTGTTGACACAAACTGGATTTAGCATTATTTCCTTTCCTTTTTTCATATCCCATGTCTTTTGCTTTCCATTTTTTCCTTCTTTTCTGTGCTTTGCATAATGTTCCTTATAATTGTAAGTGAATGGAGTGATGAATATGTATGTAAGTCTGAACATGTATCCTATATTGTAGAGGACACACCTCTATTTCAAACAACATAAGAGGGCAGTTGTTTCTTCAAAGACATTCTACATTTGAGGGAGTGCCAGTCCAAATCTAGTTTCAAATTAAAGAATCATAGCAAGGGAGACAAAGAAGTTAGTTGCCCATCAACAGTGAGCAGTTAAACAGCAGATGAAGCAAGGACACAGATTAATTAACCCTTCCCCTTGGAATGAAATAGATTTTTTCCCCAACTGTGCATCAGTATATATAAATTATCATATGCAAATCTATCTCTTTTTTGTCCTTTTTTGGGGTAATAGAGATATTTTTCCAGCAGTGCAGAAGTGGGCATTTTATATCTGAGTTTTAAGATAGAACTTTTGTTTTCAAAAATGGGTCTAGTCCCTTTAGTGACTAGAACGAGACAGTACTTATGTTTTCCATTTGATTGATTTAGCCATGCAGCATTAAAATGGTATGCAGACAAGAGAAATGTAATAGGGAAAATACTAATAGGAAGTGCTTCTAACTGAGTGTAGTATTGGTATGGATTTACTAGTTTGACTTAACAGTCTATACTGTAACATTTAAGCTTCAACATTCCAACCTACACTTGGACCAGTAATATTTTCACTTTGGTTTATGAACAGCTGTTGGATATTTTCCAAAAGTGCCCTAGAGCAGTGTTCCTCAACCTCGGGAACTTGAAGATGTGTGGACTTCAACTCCCAGAATTCCCCAGCCAGCATTCTGGGAGTGGGAGTCCACACATCTTCAAGTTCCAAGGTTGAGGAACACTGCCCTAGAGAACAAAGGTGTTACAGTATAAGGAATATAGGAATCTGTGTCAGTATGGAGTCAGACCATTGGTCCACTTAGCCCAATATCATCTATAACAATGTTTTTTAAACTTTTTTCTCTCAGGATCCCTTTTGTTTGTAAAGGTTATATTTATCAATATTTACCGTATTAAAAATTAAAATTGATGCATTTGCTGCTACTACCACATCTCACAATTGTTTGATGGGATTTTAATATTGTATTATTTTTCAGCATAGGCTGGCAAATAACTTTGATTTCGTGAACCCCTGAGAGGGTCTTGGGGGACCCCTAGGATCCTCGGACCACACTTTAAGAAACACTAGTCTATAGAATTGACAGCAATTATTCATTCTAATGTCAGTGTTTTTCCACTCCTAACTAGATAAAACCCGGTACTTTCTGCATTAACACATTTGCTCTACCAGCGACCTATGGCCCTCTCCTTGTAATGATCATTCAAGGGATCATTCTTCTAACTGTGTGGGATCTTATTTTGACTCCTATTTCCAGTGAGCAAAATAAAATCCTGGAAGTCTGTTATGACAGCTGAGAAACTTGAAATGATGATCTGCAGATGAGACTCGTATGAAAGCACATTAACTGGCTGAGCCCAACTGCACTTAATGAGACGTAAATGACTTCAGTACTCCTCCTTCTTGCTTTACTACCTTGTCGGTCACACCAAGTTCTGTGCCGAATCAACAGAAGAAGGTACCACTTAAAGCTGGGGGTGGAATTGTTAAGAGTGTCACGAACATTGAATAATCTTGGCAGCTGGAGGAGGTGGGTTGTAAAAGAATTTTCTATTTAGAAGCAGTTGCCTGGGTCAATTAGAATTGATGGAAGGGGGAGGAAAAAAAAAAGAAACAGAGAAAAAGTATCCAAAACTTATAATGGGAGGCTGATAAAATTCAGTAACCTTTACACAGTGAAAAAGAAATTTGATGCAGATGCTTCAAATAATTTTCAGAAAAGTTTGTGAAGAGTTACCTCATTTATAAAACAGCCACAGAAAGATACCTGAGAGGAAACTATTCATTGGAAGCTATTACAAAAATCTAAAGTTTAAAATTTATTTAGAAAAATATTGCGCAGGAGATGTAAAAGTGAATCTTACTTCATTTTCACATTGCTGCTTGAGATCTTGAACGAAGGGGTGCTCTTGAGATAAGTTAGACCACAACTCCCATGTTTCATAGCCAACATGGCCAAAGCCTGGCTGATAATTCTTATAGGCAAACACATCTGAATACTAGATTGGGGAAATAAACATATGAATGATGAGCTTTTAAAAATTCAAGCAGAAAAAATAATAATCTCATTTTTCACACCTGAAGCAGTGCTTTGTGAATGCGTGAATGTTATTTACTGCAGAACAGAATGTGTTTTCTTCTTATCAAGGAAGGTAGAAATTTCCATTGTAGCTCTAACTAGAAGTATCTGTCAATTGTGCTTTCTGTTTGTGACAATTATTAATGCATCCAAAACGGCTTTCAGTGTAAATGAGAATTTAAAATGTAATGGTAACAAAATATAGCATTCTCTGTGGTATATATAGTATATTTCAGTTGTATTGTTACTTCCCTCGAGAAAGCTAACATTTGGTTGATTTTATTTTCTCCTTCTTTTCCAGGAAATCTGTTGGCCAACTGGACTTAGCCAATACAAGAAAAGCTCTAATTGTACCTGCTTTTGAAACTCTCCGCTATCGCCTCTCTTTTCCAAAGTCAAAAGCAGAGCTGTTATCTATGTTGGACATGGGAACACTCTTCACATTCAGGTATTGCATGTATTTTATTTAACCCATTTAAAAATTTTGCTCCCTCTCTATTTTAAGCAGTTGAGTATGAAAGAAGGCACACACAACTGTACATTTAAAACATTCTAAACCTTTGTTACAAACATGTTCTCACTCTCTCCATTATTACTTAAAATGAGCCATCCATTTACACTGTTTCCTTGAGGTTTAGGAGGTTCTCTGGAGGTTTAATTTGAAAAGATTAAGACTGAGAATTTTAGACACTAACCAAATTGATTCTATGGTTTATATGAATGTTATATGGAAACTTTCAGAACCATGCAGCCAGACTGCATTCTCAGCCAGCTCCAATTTCTAAACAGTCTTCATGGTCTGTCCACTAAGAGGTCATTATAATAATCCTTGAGTTTATCAACATATAAATCTCTGCTGGACCCATGAGGAACCCCAGACTATAAAGCTGATCCTTAAGGAGGAATATAATCCCATTTAAAAATAGTGTCTCCTGAATCCTGAATGTCCCATCCCTGAATTCAGCAACTCTATTGTGTGCATGTTTTGTTTCTGCTTGTTCTTCCATATCCACCCAATTGTCCACATTCATAAAAATGAGCTAGTAAACATTAGCTACATTTTTGCTCTTTGCAACCAGTCCTTTGGTAGCAAACATGTTTGGAACCCATGTGCTTGAGATCCTATCAAAATGGCAATCTGTTCTTGCTATGTCCCTGCAATACCACATGCCCCTTGTTTTAGGATAACATTGCATGGGATCTATCTAACAAAACTGCTGTCTGAAATATTCATTCTGAATGGTAGGATTCTTTTGAGGCCTCCTGCTCCGATTGCTTGGTGTTAGCACTTGATGAATTGCTCCCATTCAATCTTGTCTCCTGCAAACATGCAATGTGCCAAATTGAACAGTGGAAAAAAGCAGAGATGATATGTTTGTTTAAAAAGAAAGAACCTAACCCCCCCCCCCC